GGGTGCTGAAGACCTATTCTACCCCGGAATCTTCACGGGTCTCCATGGGAAGTCCAGCAACCTATGCAGGCTGTATGAGGCGACTAATGAATCGGGCTGTCAGGGTGGGTGCCTTGGTTGATGAGGTGGATCGATGCTCACAATATCAATCACTGGATTGTCTGGTCCTGATTATTTACTGACTGCCATGTTATAGCTGGAATGCTGCGGAGTGCAGTGTACAACAACAAACTCACACACACACTAGATAACCCTACCAACCCGTTTCAGGCCAGTTTCCACTAATCTTGGATTGGAATCACAAATTCATCACGAATTGGCAAACGTGTGTCACAGATCTTTCCTCCCAAACTGAGCTGTTTCCAATTTCAAACAATTGTTTCGATTTCCTCTATAATGTTCAATAGAGGTAGGATGACATTTAGAAAAAAAATAATTGGGGGCAGGACTTTTTATGATACATTTTCCACAGATTTTGATTACATTGTTTTTATATAATTTGTTTAATATTGATAGAAACAGTAAATGAAGTGTGTTTTATCTAATTTGTTACTTATTTCTGGTCTCCAGAACCCCCAAAACACTGCTTTTTCTTTTGTTGTTTTTTCACATTAATTTTTTGGAGTCAGCCTTTTCGTAAATAAGTTTAAAACAATGCCTGGCCTTAATGAGAGGGTAGACCCCTTGATTAAAAATGTTCTATTAAAGTCATGTGAATAGGTCTACTTTTAAAATATTGAAACACTGTCTCATTAATCAGTAAACAACATGGCCAAACATATAGACTTCAAATGCCATGAAAACATTACTTTCCTCTTGAACTTGATTTTTCCCTAGCTTGATATTCCCCACTTGACATTCCCCACTTGACATTTGACCTAACATCCATGAAATCAACAACAGAAAATGCCACATGAGGTATGTTGAAAAGAGATAGGTCAAGTGAATCAACAAAGATGGTAAATGTTTCAAGTGTTATGTGATCTTTCGAACATAAACACCAGGTAAACAATGTTATGTTTATGTTAAGCTTTACCCCCTCTGTTGTTGCTGCTCAAGACATTGTGAAGCACTGTTTTGCCTGTTATGAGATTATTTGTCACAGTTGCCATGAATGGAGACAACATCGATGCTGTTTGCAACTATCGTATGGGCTTGATCCACTAGTGTACACTAACACTACTTGACATGGTACCCAGTGAGAAACACTTAATTACATTGTGTATTGGAAGCTTTGTTACGTGATAGAGACAGACAATTTATTGAGTCTTACCTCATTTTCACATATTAAACATTATACAATATGATGCCATAATATAATATGAGAGGCTTAAAGTATATACAAAGCATATTTGAATAAAATACAGAATATATTGACATAAAATACAGAATAAACTAGAAAATATTAATACGGAAACTCTTATATAAAATGTTCTTGCGCAGATTTAAGATAGCTTTGCAGGTTTGGGCACATATGAACGCCTCCATGGTTTAGTGGTTCAATCCCCGGCCGTGTCATACCAAAAGACGTTAAGAGATGGTACTTGTTATTACCCTGTCTGGCGCTTGTCATTAAGGGGCTAAAACAAGGACTGGTCGGCTCGGAGTCAGTATACTGTGTCTGAGTGGGGTATTCATATTAAACTGCGGCATGGTATCTCTGTAAGTGTGCTAGCACTATGAAATCGGCATCAGTCCGGACAAGTACAAGCAGCCAAACACACATGTGCATGCATGTTGCTACAATAATCTTAGATGCGACGCTAAACCCCATCTCACCTTACCTTTCCATTTGGAGCTTAACCCTACAACACTGGGATTCAGGTCAGGATAAATCAAACTTTAATGACAATCACTTTCATTGCTAAATTTTGACATGCATGTTATTTCCTCTGGCATGTGTACTGACCAGTGGTCCCAACGATGCCCAGTATGTCCAGATGAAGATGCATCACTCTATATAGGAGTGTACAGGGTAGCATTAATGTCATGATTTTCATGACTATTTTGCCTTGTATGCCCAATGCATCATGGAGACTGGCTATTCTCTGGTGATGACGTTTTTAATTTACAGTAACTGAAAACCTGTTCAAAGTGGCTTTTACTACCAGTCTTTCTAGCTTACTGCATGTATATGGACTGCCACAAGCAAATTTTTCTTAGAAGATTCAGTGCCTTTCATCCCCGATCTAGCTGACACGTCGTGATATGACTGAAATACTACTGAAAGTGGGCGTTAAACCAAACTTGCTCCCTTCCTTCCAAAACCCATTAACCCATTAATCCACTACCTCACTCACTCACTCACTCACTCACTCACTCACTCACTCGCACACCCAGCCATTCACTCACTCACTCACTCACTCACTCACTCACTCACTCACTCACTCACTCACTCCACAGTTTCTGCCTGAAGTTTGGGTGATGATTCCATGTTCAATTTCATTTTTTTGCCACAATTTTTCAAAATTGGACAGTTTCCATTTACAACCAAATCTCAATTTCTTGTCACAAGGACGAAAAATGGCAAATAGGCTTCCTTGTTTAAGAAGATGGAGAAAATATACCACTTAGCTGTCGCCTGAAGCCATCTTTTCAACAGCACACTTTAAACATGTAATTTAGACAACAAGGCATATTTTGCCGTGCTTAGCTGATGATGTTCATCTAGTAGATGATTTGACATGGCGCTGGGATAATAAGTGTTGCGATGAGACATTATCATTGTGCACTCTTCAGCAAAAGTTGCTCGAATCCATTACAAGGTAATCTCTTGATTTTACTCTTCGCCTACACACCTCATAAAATGTAGTGCCTTGACAATCTTTATACCCCACTTTTGCGAAATTGCTCATTTTCGTCAGAAATGTCACGGAAATTCTGAAGAGACAGCAGGAAAGCCGGGCGGGTCATTTCCCAGGCTTCTGGTTAACGGGAAATAAAGTGAGGTGGAAAAACAGAAGTGACACATTGTTATGTTCTCATAAGACAAGGAATTGATTCAGATTGTTTATTGATAGGATGGTGAAACAATGCACTACTGGCACAGGTCAGTGGTCGTTGTCCCTGAGTAACCTATTGGTTAATGGATTTCCTCATCTGGCAGACTGTCAGAGGTTGATGTTCCATTTGTGGTGTTATGTGTGAGGTTAATTCTTATGCATGGTTTCACTTAAATGGATGTAAAAGTGCAATGGTGTCATAAATTTATTCCTATTTTCTTATGCTATGATATGACTGAAATTCTTTTCAAAACGGTTTTAAATGCAACTCACCTACCCCACTCTCTTACATATATTCTCAAGGTTTACGGAGCATATTGTATTTCAAACTTTTTGCTGTAGGTATTAACTTGGGTTGACTGCAGTATTTGAGACCCTACATGAGTTTCGTATTGCTCTGGGCCCTGTTGCACAAAGCTATCTTAACACTAAGGTGATCGTAACTCCCTTACTTAAACATAGGCTTACGACAGTCGCTGCACTAAGATCACTTTGTGCAATGGGGCCCTGGCTCCCAATCAAGCACAAAGTTAATCGTAACTCCTAGACTGTCGTAACACTAAGATCGCTTTGTGCAACAAGGCCCTGGCTCCCAATCCAGCATTAAGATTATCGTAAACTCCTAGATAGTCGTAGCACTAAGATCACTTTGTGCAACGGGGCCCTGGCTCCCAATCCACCACTAAGATAATCGTAACTACTAGATAGTCGTAGCACTAAGATCACTTTGTGCAACGGGGCCCTGGCTCCCAATCCACCACTAAGATAATCGTAACTACTAGACAGTCGTAGAACTAAGAAGGCTTTGTGCAACGGGGCCCTGGCTCCCAATCCACCACTAAGATTATCATAAACTACTAGACAGTCGTAGAACTAAGATCGCTTTGTGCAACAGGGCCCTGGCTTCCAATCCAGCATTACGAAAATCGTAACTCCTAGATAGTCGTAGCACTAAGATCACTTTGTGTAAAGGGACCCAGTTTTCATGACTTTACAATATTAGACCACATTTGTGTTACACTTTGTATTTGTACCTTTAAAGTAGGAAGATAAATAAGCCTAAGATAGGTGCATATTTTGATAGAAATAGTTACTCTGCTGTTTAATCTCTGGTATACTCTGGGTTTAGCGGGACCAAACTCAGGGGTTTCACCACAGTTGTAAATGTCTACAACCTGTATCATCTCTGGGTTTGTCCGTACCATACCCGTAGTCGTGGATTTTAACCAAAGTTGTAAACGTCTAAGACCTGTATCATCTCTGGGTTTTTCCGTACCATACCCATAGTCGTGGATTTTAACCAAAGTTGTAAACGTCTAAGACCTGTATCATCTCTGGGTTTGTCCGTACCATACCCATAGTCGTGGATTTTAACCAAAGTTGTTAACGTCTACCACCTGTATCATCTCTGGGTTTGTCAGTACCATACCCTTAGTCGTGGATTTTAACCAAAGTTGTAAACGTCTACGACCTGTATCATCTCTGGGTTTGTCAGTACCATACCCATAGTCGTGGATTTTAACCAAAGTTGTAAACGTCTACGACCTGTATCATCTCTGGGTTTGTCAGTACCATACCCATAGTCGTGGATTTTAACCAAAGTTGTAAACGTCTAAGACCTGTATCATCTCTGGGTTTGTCCGTACCATACCCGTAGTCGTGGATTTTAACCAAAGTTGTAAACGTCTACGACCTGTATCATCTCTGGGTTTGTCCGTACCATACCCGTAGTCGTGGATTTTAACCAAAGTTGTAAACGTCTACGACCTGTATCATCTCTGGGTTTGTCAGTACCATACCCTTAGTCGTGGATTTTAACCAAAGTTGTAAACGTCTTAGACGTGTGTTATTTCTGTGTTTCCACATTAATCCGATTATTATTTTTTTATATGACTATATGGCATGACAGATTAACTACAGTCATATGAAACACATCAGGCGTTCTTTCACTATGCTTTATGATATTGTTATCTATATAATGAATTCTTTTTCTTGCAGTGTTTGCTGTTAGAAATAGGCCACTGGGACTTCAATGTCTTCAGCCTGGACACATTGTCTGGGGGTAAGTACACATTCACCATGTTTCACGAGATCCACAGTGATCAACACTTTGGCATGTTTCAGCAGACAAGTGATAACAATCAAGGATAAAGTGATGAGCATCTCTACAGACTTAGGACAGGGTGCAGATTTGGATATTGTTCTTCATCAGGGACCTATTCCTTGAAACCATCTTGGCATGAGAACTTGGCATGAGTAACTCCCGCTCTTTGACATTGACTTGTGATAACTGTAGTGCTCAGTACCAGTAGTGTAGGTACCAGATCCCTGACACACCCGTAGAGTAGACGCCAGATCCCTGACACAACAGAAGTGTAGGTACCAGATCCCTGACACAACAGTAGTGTAGGTACCAGATCCCTGACACAACAGTAGTGTAAGTACCAGATCCCTGACACACCAGTAGTGTAGGTACCAGATCCCTGACACACCAGTAGTGTAGGTACCAGATCCCTGACACACCAGTAGACACCATATCCCTGACACACCAGTAGACACCAGATCCCTGACACAACAGTAGACACCAGATCCCTGACACAACAGTAGATACCAGATCCCTGACACAACAGTAGACACCAGATCCCTGACACAACAGTAGTGTAGGTACCAGATCCCTGACACACCAGGCGTATAGACACCATATCCCTGACACACCAGTAGACACCATATCCCTGACACACCAGTAGACACCAGATCCCTGATACACCAGTAGACACCAGATCCCTGACACAACAGTAGATACCAGATCCCTGACACAACAGTAGACACCAGATCCCTGACACACCAGCAGCACCAGATCCCTGACACACCAGTAGACACCAGATCCCTGACACAACAGTAGATACCAGATCCCTGACACAAAAGTAGATACCAGATCCCTGACACAACAGTAGACACCAGATCCCTGACACACCAGCAGCACCAGATCCCTGACACACCAGTAGACACCAGATCCCTGACACAACAGTAGATACCAGATCCCTGACACACCAGTAGTGTAGACACCAGATCCCTGACACAACAGTAGTGTAGACACCAGATCCCTGACACAACAGTAGTGTAGACACCAGATCCCTGACACAACAGTAATGTAGACACCAGATCCCTGACACACCAGTAGTGTAGGTACCAGATCCCTGACACACCAGTAGACACCATATCCCTGACACACCAGTAGACACCAGATCCCTGACACAACAGTAGACACCAGATCCCTGACACACCAGCAGCACCAGATCCCTGACACACCAGTAGACACCAGATCCCTGACACAACAGTAGATACCAGATCCCTGACACAAAAGTAGATACCAGATCCCCGACACAACAGTAGACACCAGATCCCTGACACACCAGCAGCACCAGATCCCTGACACACCAGTAGACACCAGATCCCTGACACAACAGTTGTGTAGATACCAGATCCCTGACACACCAGTAGTGTAGACACCAGATCCCTGACACAACAGTAGTGTAGACACCAGATCCCTGACACAACAGTAGTGTAGACACCAGATCCCTGACACAACAGTAATGTAGACACCAGATCCCTGACACACCAGTAGTGTAGGTACCAGATCCCTGACACACCAGTAGACACCATATCCCTGACACACCAGTAGACACCAGATCCCTGACACAACAGTAGACACCAGATCCCTGACACAACAGTAGATACCAGATCCCTGACACAACAGTAGACACCAGATCCCTGACACAACAGTAGTGTAGGTACCAGATCCCTGACACACCAGGCGTATAGACACCATATCCCTGACACACCAGTAGACACCATATCCCTGACACACCAGTAGACACCAGATCCCTGATACACCAGTAGACACCAGATCCCTGACACAACAGTAGATACCAGATCCCTGACACAACAGTAGACACCAGATCCCTGACACACCAGCAGCACCAGATCCCTGACACACCAGTAGACACCAGATCCCTGACACAACAGTAGATACCAGATCCCTGACACAAAAGTAGATACCAGATCCCCGTCACAACAGTAGACACCAGATCCCTGACACAACAGTAGACACCATATCCCTGACACACCAGTAGACACCAGATCCCTGACACACCAGTAGACACCAGATCCCTGACACACCAGTAGTGTAGGTACCAGATCCCTGACACAACAGTAGACACCAGATCCCTGACACAACAGTAGTGTAGATACCAGATCCCTGACACACCAGTAGACAACAGATCCCTGACACAACAATAGTGTAGACACCAGGTCCCTGACACACCAGTAGTGTAGACACCAGATCCCTGACACACCAGTAGTGTAGATACCAGATCCCTGACACACCAGTAGACACAAGATCCCTGACGCAACAGTAGTGTAGACACCAGATCCCTGACACACCAGTAGATACCAGAACCCTGACACAACAGTAGTGTAGACACCAGATCCCTGACACACCAGTAGTGTAGATACCAGATCCCTGACACAACAGTAGTGTAGATACCAGATCCCTGACACAACAGTAGTGTAGACACCAGATCCCTGACACAACAGTAGTGTAGATACCAGATCCCTGACACAACAGTAGACACCAGATCCCTGACACAACAGTAGTGTAGACACCAGATCCCTGACACAACAGTAGTGTAGACACCAGATCCCTGACACAACAGTAGTGTAGACACCAGATCCCTGATACACCAGTAGTGTAGACACCAGATCCCTGACACACCAGTAGTGTAGATACCAGATCCCTGACACAACAGTAGTGTAGACACCAGATCCCTGACACAACAGTAATGTAGACTCCAGATCCCTGACACACCAGTAGTGTAGATACCAGATCCCTGACACACCAGTAGTGTAGACACCAGATCCCTGACACAACAGTAGTGTAGACACCAGATCCCTGACACACCAGTAGTGTAGATACCAGATCCCTGACACAACAGTAGTGTAGATACCAGATCCCTGACACAACAGTAGACACCAGATCCCTGACACACCAGTAGTGTAGATACCAGATCCCTGACACACCAGTAGAGTAGACACCAGATCCCTGACACAACAGTTGTGTAGATACCAGATCCCTGACACAACAGAGATGTAGACACCAGGGCCCACTGCACAAAGCGATCTTAGCGCTAAGATGATCGTAACTCCCATACTATAACATAAGCTTACAATAGTCGTAGCGCTAAGATTGCATTGTGCAAGTGGGCCCAGATCCCTGACACAACAGTAGTCGTGATACCAGATCCCTGACACAACAGTAGTCGAGATACCAGATCCCTGACACACCAGTTGTCTGTGGTGTTGCATGCAGGGTAAGATCAATAGTAGCTGCTCACACATGGCAGAATATCTGAGAGCCATATGGCCGGACAAGTCAGATGAAGCTCACACAGTGGCGTAAACTCATTAGTGCTCAGGATTGTGTTAAACACAACCTGCGTGTAAGTGTGTTAAACACAACTTGCATGTATTGTTACACACTTTGAGTTTGCGTGCAAGTCCTGCATGTGACATGTTTTCAAATAGCACTTAGTCTATCTCTGTTGCGTTATCAACATATTATTACTGTAGTTACGAATAATCCTTTCAAGAGGCTTATTCAGCTTGGTTTGTAGATGTGTTTCACTGTCATTTATGTGTTTGGAGTACACAGCTTAAAAGACAAAAACCCACATCAGTAAAACAGTCATATGACAGTAATTATGTAATTTGGTAGAATAATAACCTTATGAGGCTATTTTCACTGTTATTTATATGTTGGGAGTACAGGTAAAAACACCCTCATCAGTAGGACACTCTTGTACAACATTTTTTTATTACTGCTTTATCACAGGAAATGAAGACTTGTTGGCTTAGTAAACACACATTTCCACAGACGTAAAACGGTAACTGTCCATATATTTCAAAAGTACTGCCCAAGAACATTTTGTTTATTCCATAGCTTAAAAGAAGTAGTTTATGGTATGAAGAGAGTAAATTTATTGAGGCAACTCTGTATTTCAAGGAAAACAACATTATGCTTACTCCTTCTTCAGGTGAATAGGTTGAAAGACACATGAAGTTGAAAGAAATGCCTTTGTTTAAAAGTGGAGGTCTTTTTTTTAGAAACTGGTCCAAATCTATTTCCCATGTAAAAACCGTGTTACCTAGAATGTATGATGCTCGCACAACACCTATATGTTTGTCTTTTGTTTCATTCCAGGTCGATCACTCTTCCATATTGCATTCCAACTTTTCCAAAACTATGATCTCATATCGGTCTTCCATCTTGATATTCTCAAGTTAATGAGGTGTTTCAGTAAGTATTGTTTTCATGCTATCATGCATTGAATAAACATCGGGGGCACAGTCACCTAATGCTGAAAACCCTGGTAGGATTGGGAAGCAAATTATGTCCCAAGCCCTCCTTGGTTCAGTGATATGCATGGCTCCGTGGTCTAGAGGTAGAGCGTCCGCCTGGAGAGTGGAAGGTCCGGGGTTTGATCCCCGGCCGCGTCATACCAGGTTAAAAGATGGTACTTGTTGTTAACCTGTCTGGCGCTCGGCACTAAGGCGCTAAAACAAGGACTGGTCATCGGAGTCAGTATACTTTGTCTGAGTGGGATATTCATGTTAAACTGCGGCATGGTATCTCAGTGGGCTAGCACTATAAATCGGCATCAGTCCGGACTAGTACAAGCAGCCACACACACACGTGCATGCACGTTGCTATGTAAGTGGAATAATCTTGGACACGACGTTTAACCAAATTTCACCTCACCTCACCGGATATGCATGGCTACACATGCTGTAGACCTGTGACGATCCGGGTAGAATAGGTCTTCAGCAACCCATGCTTGCTGTAACAGGTGACAATGCTTGTCGTAAGAGGCGACTAACGGGATCGGGTGATCAGGCTCGCCGATTTGGTTTATGCATGTCATCGTATCCCAATTGCGTGGATCGATGCTCATGATGTCAATCAATGGATTGTCTGGTCCAGACTTGATTATTAACAGGCCACTGTCATATAGCTGGAATATTGCTGAGTGCGGCGTTAAACAACAAATAAACAAACAAACAAACGAACTCATGCTGTCAGTCACTGGTTTGCCTGGTCGGGATATGATTGTTTCTAGGCCACCATGATATGGATAGAATGTTGCTGACTGTGGCTTAAAACAACATGCACTTCACACTTCACTCTACAACAATCACAGGAAAACATGAGATACTGAAGGTGTTTCATAAAAAGGGGAGGCAACTTGTAGGAGCTTCAAGATTAAGGGAGGTAACTGGCTGCACTATCAGGAAATTTTGATATGCAGTGATTTTTTTACACAAAAACAGAATTTCTTTGACATTATGATCAACTGAAACTTACTAAAACAGCTATGTACTTATTTTGTTTATACTCCAAACTCCTATGTGCATGTCAGAAAATTCAAATGAATATAGAATGAACATATATAATATGAATACAGTTATCAATGAGAGCAATAGTCACTCAACATTAATTTTGTTCTGTGATGGTGTATGTTTCAGCATTACTAGAAAGTGGTTACCATGACAACAATTCCTACCACAATGCTGTTCATGCCGCTGATGTGACACAGGCAATGCACTGCTTCCTACAAGAACCCCAAGTAAGCCCCCAAACACCTCTGCCAAAACAGTACTCACTGGCTACACGTGTATTGTAGTACTTCTAGGTTACATGATCATACTTGATATGCATTTAGACAGCCTCCGTGATCTAGTGGTAGAGCGTCCGCTCGGAGAGCAGAAGGTCCGGGGTTTGATCCCCAAAAGACGTTAAAGGATGGTACTTGTTGTTACCCTGTCTGGCGCTCGGCATTAAAGGGCTGAAACAAGGACTGGTCAGCTCGGAGTCAGTATACTGTGTCTGAGTGGGGTATTCATATTAAACAGCGGCATGGTATCTCAGTGGGCTAGCACTATAAATCGGCATCAGTCCGGACTAGTACAAGCAGCCACACACACACACACACGTGCATGCACGTCGCTCTATAAGTGCAATAATCTTGGACGCGACGTTAAACCCAATTTCACCTCACCTGATATGCATTTAATTGTTTTTAATTCTTCACGTTCTATGTTATAAGGTAATTATATATACGGCACTTGTGGCGTCTTTAAGGAGTTGAATAATAAGCACATTAACAGCATGACAAAAAAAGTATGTTCCATCCATATAAACCATTCATATGTTTTCACTTATTTAATAACTTAAATATAGGTTAATTAACTCGAGACACATTTTAATGGCATAACCAGTATTTCCATGACAAAAAGAAGCTCAGTTTATCTGAATCCCATGAGAGATTATAATATGATACATGTGTTAAATGGGTACAATTTATAAGTTGAAAAAAATAAATATTTACAGACAAGTTAAATACACTCCTGTATTCATATTTCTGAGGGATATGAAAAGTTTAAAATTTAGGGGGTCCCTTTAGATCCTCTATGGTATTTATTCCAGGGCCCCTACATTTTCAACATGAGGTTTATGACAAGAATCCCTTGACCTACATGCTTAAATTCGAACACTGGATATGCCTTGTCATTATGTGTGACCAGTTGATCCTGTGGCATTAATTACAGTTGCTTTTGTTGAAGATTATGTCACAGCTTTGTTTGATTGCTGGTAAAAATAGTTCAAACTCTAGTCAGCTTCTTTAATTACGAGTATTATGACTAACATGGTAATTTGTTAGTAATTTGAGGAGATGTTGTCTTGGCTTTTCTATGTTTCTATGAACCCCATACCCCCTTAGCTATAGGGTTCATAGCATGACTGACCTGTGAAGATCCGGGGTAGAACAGGTCTTCCGCAACCCATGCTCGCCATAAAAGGCGACTGTGCTTGTGCCAAAGGGCGACTAACGGGGTCGGGTGGTCAGGCTAACGGACTTGGTTGATGCATATCATCATATCCCAATTGCGTAGATCGATGCTCATAATGTCAATTTCTGGATTTTCTGGTCCTTGAAAAATATATCTATTTATGAGTGAGCGTAGAAAAATATTGTCAGCTCCAGTGTGTTGAAGGTGGTTCCTAATCCTTCCCTCATCATCTGAGACCTCCGCCTTCAACTAAATCAACAAGTCATCAAGGTGGAATTGGGATAAGCCTGTAAACTAGCAGATGCAAATATGAAACACTGTTTAGCTGAATGTTCTTACTCATAAAGTACCGTTGACTTTTTCAGCTTCGAAGCTGTGTGACTTCTTTGGAGGTTATGGTAGCCTTCATTGGATCAATGTCACATGACTTGGATCATCCTGGGGTCAATAACACCTTCCTCATTGCCACGGCTAATCATCTGGCTACATTGTATAATGTAAGTACTCCACAATGCCTTGCTATCTTTCGGTATTTAAGTCTTCCATAATACCATGGCAACACATATTGCTACATTGTATACTGCGAGTCCTCATTATGCATTTTTGCACCCGTGAGGATTCGGGGTAGAATAGGTCTTCAGCAACCAATGCTTGTCATAAAAGGCGGCAAACCGTATCGGGTGGTCAGGTTTGCTGACTTGGTTGATGCATATCATCATATCCCAATTGGATCGATGCTCATGATGTCAATCACTGGATTGTCTGGTCTGGACTTGATTATTTACAGATCGCCATTCCATGCTTGCTGACTTGGTTGATAAATGTCATCGATCCCAATTGCGTGGATCGATGCTCATGATATTAATCACTGGATTATTTACAGACCGCCGTCATATAGCTGGAATATTGCTGAGTGCGCCGTTAAACAACAAACAAAACCATATGCATTTTTGTAAACCATCTCATCCGATGTGGACAATGTGTAATGTGTGTGTAAGTGTGATTCAGATATTTGAAGAAACTACAAGTAGTATTTTGGGACTCTCTGTTTCAAAGTTGTACTGCACTGGGGATGTGTTTCCCAGACTGATGTGATGTTTTTAACCAGGAAGTGTGTATAACCTTCTTATGAAGGTAGCTAGACTTTTTCTGTTTTAAAGTTGTACTTCATTGGACATGTAATTCCTGAAAGGAGGTTAAGTAATTAAACCAGAAATACTCATTTTTATGGAGGTAGCTAGAGGCATAGAACTTTTTTTAAAAACTTGTCTTGCTCAAGATAATTAAGTGTTTTCCCAAACCAGAAATTTCTTTTTAAGGTAGTTATTTGCTAAGCATTCTGTTTTACCAGGGTATTATCACTTTAGGCATAATGAGAGGAATTGAAATCATGTGTTATACTAAAATACAGTAAGGACTCTCAGGAATAACCTGCATCTGTAAACATCCTCAAATTACCAGTATTTTTAGTTTGAAAACTTATATTGGGAAACTGACCCATCTGCAGCATGTGTTTTCAAACTTAAAAACTGCCATCCGCACCAATCATTTTGAAGACCTTGACTGAGCATGAAGCATTTTTATTTTCATTGAAAACAACTTTTTTAAATTTCATTTTGATGAGATACTTGAAACTGTTTCTTTGTTTCTTTTCAGAACTCGTCAGTGTTGGAGAACCATCACTGGAGGTCTGCAGTTGGAGTGCTGCAGGAGACAAGAGTGTTTGACCATCTACCCAAGGATCAGTGGTCAGTTGATACCTTGTCAGCGTTAGGGGGCACGGGTGGCCCAGTCGTCTAAGGCGCCGCGATTCGCTGTGCAGAGTTGCGTCCCTTGGGCACGCCAGAAACCTATGATTGTGGGTTCGAATCCCGGTTCGCCCCAATTATGTTTCTTGGTTTGTCAGCATCATACCCATGCTCGTGGGTTTCACCGAAGTGGTAAACGTCTGCATCACTTCGGGCTTTCCTCCCACATTAAGCTGACACGCCGCGATATAACTGGAATACTGTTAAAAGCGGCATTAAACCCAACTCACTCACTCACTCACTTGTCAGCATTAGAAATAGTCCTGTAGTCCTTGCCAATCTGCTCAATAGTTTTTGTCATTTTTAAGAGTTTTGCTACATTATCATTGTAAGAACTAGTGGAATAAGAATGTTAATTTTACCCCGCGTTTTGCTAGGAATTGTAACAATTGATCAACACTGTAATGGATTAAATACGCTTTAACTGTCAATATTCATTCAGAGCATGACTAGCCCATTCATTTGTACCCAATCTTTTGCTGTGCAAATCCTTTACATGCCGAAGACCTAAGCTTGACCCCCACATTGGTTCAATGTGTAAAGCATGGTCAGCAAGCATGTATCAATACAAAATAAATACTCTATCAAAGTGTCTTGTGGTTAAGGGGACACAACTCATGTGACACTGTAATTGTTTTCTTGCCAGGAAGCATTTCTAGGCTCATTAACAATGCTTTGGTCATCATAAATGTCTAACTACAGGATTTGTAAAGTGTTAATGAGCTTGATTCTATTTCAGGGACGCTGTTGTGAAGCAGATCAAGTCTCTGATTTTGGCGACGGACATCACACGCCAGCAGGAATTCCTTCTTAAATTTAGAGTGAGTCATTTCTGTATGATGTCCTCGATGAAATTCCGGGTCAGGTATTTCCCCACTACCTTGTCGTTTGAGCCGTTTTACATGAGGATTGGATGGACTCAACTGACCCAGACACAACATAGCTGGCCTTTATTTGTCTCACTGTCTCAGTATGAGTGAGAGAAAAAAGAAGCTATGAAATCAAAATTCCTGCTTGAATTCTTTCGAGTCTTTCGATGACTATAATATGGAACTCGTCAGTGGGTCCAACGTAAAATTGTTGTTTTAAATGATGGAGGCTGTATGAAATACTGCATCTTTCCTCAGTGTCTTTGTTAATATTTGCAGTACCTGAGGATGTTGACGTGGTCGTTGATATTTTTCAGAGGCTTCTAGATAATGAAGAATTTGACTACGAAAATAACATTGAGGACAGACATTTCATATTACAAGTAAGTAGAAGAATGTGTATCAAAAAGACATTATCTGCACTGATACTAAAACTTCTAAGTGACATTTACAGATATCATAGCCTACATATTTATGAACAAATGTATGAGTAAAGAATTAAATTTCATTTTGGCGAAAGTCACAAAAGGAATTCTGAAATAATTATCTACAGACAAGTTATTACTGTCTTTGAAAGGCATTTAGAAGTGATACACATAAGGAAGAGAATTTATGGATGTCAGCTTCTATATTTTGAGGAACACAACATTTCAGAGTATATGCTTACTTCTTCATCAGGTGATGAAGGAGTAAGCATATACTCCGAAACATCTTCCTCATAATGCCGCCTCCGTGGTCTTGTGGTAGAGCGTCCGCCCGGAGAGCGGAAGGTCCGGGGTTCGATCCCTAGCCGCGTCCTTTCCAAAAGACGTTAAAAGATGGTACTTGTTGTTACCCTGTCTGGCGCTCGACATTAAGGGGCTAAAACAAGGACTGGTCGGCTTGGAGTCAGTATACTGTGTCTGAGTGGGGTATTCATGTTAAACTGCGGCATGGTATCTCAGTGAGCTAGCACTATAAATCAGCATCAGTCCGGACTAGTACAAGCAGCCACAGTCACACACGTGCATGCACGTTGCTATATAAGTGCAATAATCTTGGACGCGAAGTTAAACCCAATTTCACCTCACCTCACCTCTTCCTCATAATGAAGAAGTTGACATCCATAAATTCTCTTCCTTTAAGTTATTACTGTAGTATATTATTTGATAGGTTTTGACTTCAAACACCAAATATACATCATGTATTTGACATATAATATTCTTTTATAAATAAAATTGCAAGTGATTCAGTGGCATTTTATTGTCTAACCAAGTAATTTGTTTTGCATTTGTTTCATAAAACTGAAAAAAAAGGGCCAATGCCTATGGACACCTGATTGGCTGATAATAGAATGGGCGGGGCTTGTGTTGCATTATTACACTGAACGATGTCATTGACTTCTCACTGTTGTTGACCCATGAAGATCTGGGGTAGAATAGGACTTCAGCAACCCATGCTTGCCGTAATTGGCAACTATGCTTGTCGTAAGAGGCGACTAATGGGATCAGGTGGTCAGGCTCGCTGACATGATTGATGCATGCCATCAATCCTAAGTGTGTGGATCAATGCTCATGATATCAATCACTGGATTGTCTGGTCTAGACTCAATTATTTACAGACTGCTGAAATATTGCTGAGTGTGGCGTTTAACAACAAACCAGCCAATCACACTTTTGTCTGTGTTTATGATTAAAATAAATTGTCTGTGAAATTATTGATGACATATTTATTTATAAACATGACTTCAGTATGTTTTTGTGTTTATGGTGTTTTTGCACATCAGTTTTTACGTTGATACCTCCATATAGGCGAACAAATATTTTATGTCAATTCAAACGACCTCCGTGGCCTAGTGGTAGGGCGTCCGCCTGGAGAAGGCCTGGGGTTCGAATCCCGGCCGCGTCACACCAAAAGATGTTTAAAGATGGTACTTGTCGTTACCCTGCCTGGCGCTCAGCATTAAGGGACTAAAACGAAGCACTATATAAGTGCTTCGAGTCAGTGTGTCAGTATATACTGTATACTCAGTGGGGTATTCATGTTAAACTGCGGCATGGTATCTCAGTGGGCTAGCACTGTGAAATAGGCATTAGTCCAGACTAGTACAAACAGACATGTGCAGGCACATTGCTATATAAGTGCAATAATCTTGGAGGCACCATTAAACCCCATTTCACTGTATGTCAATTCATAAGCATTTGTTATTGGAAAGTAAAAGGTGTACATATTTTGTCCTTGATTCCAGATTGCCCTAAAGTGTGCCGACATCTGCAACCCGTGTCGGATGTGGTCCCTCAGCAAAGTGTGGAGTGAGAAGGTGGTGGAGGAGTTCTTTAATCAAGGTTAGGATCTTCCACGTTCTGCTGCTTCATCAAGTTGCTACACTCCAAATGCTAGTGTCCCCAGTCTGTGTCATACTTGAGAGAACAATGTGCCCAGTTCCCTGTGCTTGACAGAAATTGGGAACTCATAAATACAGTATTTGTTGGCAGGTTGTGTGCTAATGAACCCAAACGATGCATTGGTCATTCCACATGCAGTGAACTCTTGGTTTGTCTGGTCAAGACGAAGAAGCTGACATGAATTTACTAAATTTACACCTAAATTGGGAGTGTTGGTATTGTGCTGGAGATAGTTGTCCACCTTGTTTCTCTAAGATAAGTCACAGAGACCATCGGGGCGGTCCGGTAGCCTAGTGGTTAAAGCGTTCGCTTGTCACGCCGAAGACCCGGGTTCGATTCCCGACATGGGTACAATGTGTGAAGCCTATTTCTGGTGTCCCCCGCCTTGATATTGCTGGAATATTGCTAAAAGCGGCGTAAAACCATACTCACTCACTCACTCACAGAGACCATCATGGCAAATGCGTTTTTCTTCATTTCCTCTCTTAAGATGACCACCTCTGTGGTGTTGTGGATCAATCCCCCAATCCCCCAGCCACATCATACCAAAAGATGTTAATAGATGGTATTTGTTGTAACCCTGGCGCTCAACATTAGGGGGCTCATCATGGACTGGTTGGCTCGAAGTCATTATGCTCTGTCGGATTTGGGTATACATGCTAAACTGCGACATGGTATCTCAGTGGGTTAGCACTATAAAACCGGCATAAGTCCAGACTAGTACAAGCAGCCACACACAAGTGCATACTCATTGCTATATAGTCACATGAAGATCTGGGGTAAAATTGGTTTTCAGCAACCCATACAGGGTCGGGGGGTTCAGAATCGCTGATTTGAAGCATGTCATCGTATCCCAATTGCGTGGATTGATGCTCATCATGTCATTCTGGTCCAGACTCGATAATTTACATACCGCCGTCTTATTACTTGAATATTGCTGAGTGTGACGTAAAACAAAAAGCAAACTCACCGCTATGTTAGTGCAATAATCTTGAACTTGATGTAAAATCCCATTTCACTTCAGCTCAACTTTATGAAAATGATAGATATATAACATAACCTATTGAAACTTTGAAATACAGATTATCTGCCCCTCGTGGCAACATGCTTTTGGTCCCTTGGATATTGATTGAGGCTTACGCCATTCATGGGATAGATATCTGTAATTTTGTGTCAGCTTGGTGGTTATTCTCTGTTTATTCTTTCAAGAGATTGAATTTGTTATGTTTTTGCTTGCACTTTTGCTTGTACTTGCAGGAGACACAGAGAAAGCTCTACACATCCCCATAACTCCATTATGCAACAGGAAGGCTAATACCGTGGCCAAAATACAAGCAGGTAATAAATTAGGGGTAACCTCCCAAAACCCCTACATCCCATTTCCCCATCAGCTTAAGACAACAAAGTTCACGGTCCATGGCACTGCTAATCCCTAGTCTGTTACCTATTTCATACAATGGAACAACCCAAGAAACACGAATAGATTGAGAAATTCATAATACATTATAATAAATTTCATCTCAAATGGGATCTTGTTCTTGGGGAGTAGGGGTAGGCCAGCTGCTCTTCTTGCAGACTTCAGGATCTTCTCATCATACAGGCATCTTTCATTACACTTACAATAATTCTTTTTTTTAAAGCTTTCCTTTAAGTCCCCTTATCCCATAAAGCTCTACCCCTTTCATTTCTACTACCTCTACTCCAGACCTTAATCTCTCCTTTAGATACACGTCGCTATATAAGTGCAATAATCTTGGACGCGACGTTAAACCCAATTTCACCTCACCTCCTTTAGATGAGTTCATAATGCCAGACAGGTAAATGCCGCGTGTTGTTTTAACTAATTGTAGGGGAACTGGGTTGTAGGGGAAATGGGATGTAGGGGTTTTGGGAGATAACCAAATTAGGACATGCATGGAGATCTGTGTGGGCGATCCTAGGTTAGAACTGGCGCCCTGCAACCCATGCTTGTTGTAAGAGGGGACTCGCTGGATCGGGTGGTCAGGCTCACTGACTTTGTTGGTTTCATGTCCGTGTATCCTTGCAGTGTGGATCACTGCCCATGACATCAATCGACCGGTGAAGATCCGGGTAGAAGAAGCCTTCAGCAACCCATGCTTGTCGTAAGAGGCGACTAACGGGATCGGGTGGTCAGGCTTGCCATCATCGTATCCCAATTGCATGGATTGATGCTCATGACAAAACAAATCATGACATGAATCACTTTATTGTCTGGTCCAGACATGATTATTTACAGGCCTCTGCCTTACAGCTGGATATTGCTGAGTGTGGCACAAAACTATCAGGTCCGATTTGGATCCATGGCCAAAGTAGATGGTATATTGTCAACTCACTGCTATCAATTGCTGACATCAACCTTTTGAGATGACACTGAAAGACAATTCAAAATATTAGGTGTACTTTTCTATACAGGCTTACACTGAGTGACAGGCTGCTATCATTGAGTGGTTCTTTCATCACTTAAGATGAGATAAACAAATTTTCAAACATAACATAGTTTACTGTACATGAAAAAAGTTATAACGAACTTAAAGGGACCACTAATTGTAGTTCTTAATAACCATGGTTTGTTATAAGCATATATACAGCATATATACAACAAATGGCTGGGACTAAAAAATAGGTTTGTCATATGGGTCAGTTCGTTATAAACATAGTTTACTGTACATGAAAAACAGTAAACTACAGTTATAACGAACTTAAAGGGACCACTAATTGTAGTTCTTAATAACCATGGTTTGTTATAAGCATATATACAGCATATATACAACAAATGGCTGGGACTAAAAAATAGGTTTGTCATATGGGTCAGTTCGTTATAAACATAGTTTACTGTACATGAAAAACAGTAAACTACAGTTATAACGAACTTAAAGGGACCACTAATTGTAGTTCTTAATAACCATGGTTTGTTATGAGCATATATACAGTATGTATACAACAAATGGCTGGGATTAAAAAATAGGTTTGTTATATCGGTCAGTTTGTTATAAATGTGTATGTTATAAACGTAGTTTACTGTACATGAAAGCAGCATCAAACCAATCTCATTTATTCCCCATTGATTGTCCTGTCCGAAACAAATATAATCACTTGACTGATATTAATTTCACATGGTTACAGGTTTCATGGAGTTTGTGGCCACTCCCCTGTTTATGGAGTGGTACCGCTTCATGCCATCCGATTTAAGTCGCAAGATGCTGAACAATATAGCCAGGAACAAGATCCAATGGAAGAAGATTATTGACGAGGAAGCTCTTCAGGTTCAAGAGTCCGACAGTTCTTCCTCGAAGAATGAACAGTCGAATGATGACCAGGAGCAGAGTGACGACGACGAAGATGAAGATGAGGAGGAGGTGGAAGAGGATGTATGCAGCGAGGAAAATGATGTCGTGGAGAACGACATCAACCTCGCTTACCACTATGACTCGGAGCAGATGAGCGAGAGTGGGCGGAGTCTGTCGCCGGTGTCGGAGGATGTTAATGTTGTCATTGCTCCTGGAAGCAGGAGACACAGCATGCCACCTGTGTTCATTCGAAGGGATCTCAATTTCTATTTGGGAATGCGGAGAGACAGCGGACCTAAGATTCCCCTCCTCCGACGACAGAGTCTGCCGACGACAACACTTTTCAAATCTACCTCATCAGATATTACTGTTTCCCCGGCTATTGTGAAGGAAGTTCGGAGTCTTTCCATGGAAGCACTCATGTCTCGGCCGAAAATCTCAAATCTGAGTCCGAGCATTGAAGCTAGTAGACTAGCTAGTGGGTTAGAATACTTGAACTTTGTGCCATTGAAAAATCAAACTTTGGTGCTGCAGAGAGGGAGTATAACAAAATTTACCTCTTCCCAACGAACAATCAATTCCTTGTCGGATATTACATTCCAGTCGAACCGCCCACTCGATAGGGATGATTTGAGAATGCGCTCAGACACACTAAAAAATGACAAAAACCTTCCAAATGTTGGTCTTGCATCGAGCTGGCCGACAATATCGCCAAAGGCTAAGATAATCAGTAAGGGTATTCCAGGAATGAAACTCCAAACAAACATTTCATTTCTTGCTCAAAAGGAGAATGAACCAAGGGGAGACAACTGCGATGTGAGTGCTGACAATCCACCTATATGTCTTTCAGAGCACCAGCGCGAGGCTGCCCCGGGCCGACCTCATTAAGTCAAACATTTCCATGTTGTTTCTCATCTGTTTGTCAGTTTTGCACCATTATGGTTGTCAGTGATCTTGATGAAAATAACCGTACCACTCTCATTGTATAAACCGTCTTTTTTACAACACATCCGTCAATGAATCTGTGTATGATGTTGTTAGGAGTGCTTTTATTAGCCCATATGAAGATGAAGGTTTTGTCTTTCATCATTATTGGATATTTTTTTGCATAAACACATACCGTCTCAACAATTCAGGTCAAGCAATGCAAATGGATAAAGAATATGTATGAATACTGCTGTTCAGTTCTAAACCTCGTCAGGTAGCTGCAGCGATGTGCCAGTACCAACGTTATATTATCTGAACTATTAATGCCAGTCTGGTATACCAAAGTCCAGACACCTTGGAGTCATGATATACTGGAACACCCTTCATATGTATTTGTGTTCATGTGGTAGCATGTTTGCCGTTTAAGTACCCACTTTAATAAGTAGAGCAGCCCTTACCCACCTAGACCTCCCTGCAAGTGATCTTCGTAATCGTTTATTGCTGAATATTGTTGGGGTTATTTTGATGAAATTGTGTGCTCAATTTTCACTACACTTTCACTTTCCTAAAAAATAACTTTTTTATCAGTAAGGTTCAATTTATTTCGGTGAAAGTGTGTGGGAGCTGATTGGCTGTTATTTACCGTGACACTGACCAGAATAACGTTATTGTTGCCTCGAAATAATGACTGCCACTTGAAACAGCTAGAGTAATGAGGTTTATTCATAGAACACTATAGGTTGCAGATTAATTTCTTTCCATCTTTTCACTGAAATATTAAGTATAATGATAAGTGATGATGTGTGGCCTTGTTTACCAGGGTTTTACCATGACTTGCAAAGGAGAGGGTCCAGGGGACCCCAATAATTAATTTAAAGGGTCTTTCAGGCAATATGAGGGTCCTGTAAAGTAATGAAATGGTGTAGTGTACTGTACGTTTAGGTTATTTCTTTAGAGCTTGGAATGAATCAGTGATCATGTGGACAGAGGTCATGATTGATGGATGAAATAACAGACACCCATAATTGCTCTTTATACGGTGTAGGTACAATGAATATTAGGGCTGGGACGACTCCAAATGTACTGCCCGGGTACCCAACCCCCTATTACCTGACCCGACCCTGGTACCCGCTGTAGGTCCCAAGAGACTGGTACAACATGCCGATAAGGAATTGCTTGAGAAGAGCCCTGCAAAAAGTATTTAGGTACACTGTAAATTTATCTGGTCATGCATGACTGAAGTTAAAAAATATATTAGTCAGAGGGAATGCATGAATAAGTCGAAAAAAATGTGAACATTTGTGACCTGTAACTTTTAAACAATATATCACGTGACTAACCATGGGTCCGGGTAGTCCTGTGGGTACCCGGATCCTACTCAGGACCCACCTGACCCGAGTACCTGAGTTTCCTGTCCCAGCTCTACTTGGGACGCAGTATATATTCTTTCTGAGTCCATTCTCCTCATTTGTGTGTCGTGTAAAACCCTGGTTGACGGAATCGCCGAGTGAACAGTGTTTGTTCTCCACTCCTCTTTTCCAACATCATATTAAACATTTAGTCATTTTCTTAGTGCCCAGGGCGCTTATTACAGCAAGTATGGTATGTCAGTGATCCCAGGGAGATTCTCGGCTTCAGCTTCAAACATTGTAGAACAGTGTAGAAAGTCCTACAGACGAAGTTAAAAAATAATATAGATTTTTAGGCATAGCTACATCGCAATAAGAAATGACTGGATTTTACTTATATTTGAAGAATACCTAAATTAATTCTGTTGACATAATTTATTTATTAGTTTCATGCTGAAAAATGGTGCTGCTCATGCAAAAGTCATTTTTTTGGTCAGTTGTTTTGCTCAAAGTCTCAATTAGCATTCAACTGAGGTTTGTCGAAACCATACATGTTATTCCTTAGCGTTGGAAGTGGTTATCGTGACAACGTGACAGCTATGGTTAAGACGTGTTCTTAATGGTGGATGATGAGTGTTAAGACAGGAAAATGCTTTAAACAGGATCATGATTCCTTTTAGATATTTATTTACTGTTAGTGTTGCTTTTCTAAAGTGTTTTAGTATATGCATAACACATTCTTACGAGGGAAGCTAATTTTGGTCACGTGTGATTTTTAATGTCTTAAGAAATAAAATCTATAAACTTCTATCATGATATGCATGTTAATTGATATCACAAATTTCCATGAGACATGTCCTCTAAGGGTTAATTGTATATTATTGTATTGTTTTTTTTATAAAAATAAAGAAGAAAATTATGACAATGACCTAAAATGATCACTGACTCAGTTTTGGGGGCAAGTCTGGTGAAACATTTAGAAATTCACCTGAGGGTTGATTTCATATTATGTGATCGTTTTTTATCGAATTAAAAATTATCACCTGTAACTGAAACGGCTATGAGCATTGACTCAGTTTTTTGGGCAAGTCTGGTGAAATATTTACTCTGAATAAATTCCCTTGATCATATGTGTTTTATGTTCAGTTGATGAACAATGAGTGTATGCAGGATATGAAATTTTGCTTTTCTGTGTTGTCATTTGAAACTTGTACCTAAGTAAAAAAATTGTATTGAACTATGCAAATAGTGTATTTGTAGACCTGTAAAATTGTCAATGCTTATTTGAACCAGTATGTTATTTATTTATTAATTCCAGTATGCCCATCCTCGTCAGCCATCAGATGTATTCCATGTTGTTCTATGATACTCTGGGGGATAAGATGACCAGTAATCCAGTCCATATGTACCCAGGAGTACTTTATGACGATATTGTCCTGTGGTGTGGAAACTTTGTTACTGTCTGGAATGACTTGTTTGTATGGAATCTGATGATAATCATATTTATCAAGGCCATGATTAAATCATTACTTAATTTTATATTTTGGGGGCTTGGGAGGCCCAGTCGTGCCAAAATTTGCTGTGCAGAGTTGTCCTTTGGGCCCACCAGAAACCAGATGATCGTGAGTTCGAATCCCGGTTCACCTCGATTATGTTTCTAGGTTTGTCAGCACCATACCTGTGCTTGTGGGTTTTACCGAAGTGGTAAACGTCTGAGACCTGGATCATTTCGGGCTTTCATCCCACATTGATACAACTGGAATAATCTTAAAAGCGGCGTTTAAGCAACTCACTCACTCACTTGTTTATTTTGTGAAGCAAGGGGTTATTTGACCATCAAAGTGCTGACAGAAATAACAGATCTAATTTTAGTGTATTGGGATTAGTTATCACGTAATCAGACATTCTTCTTAAGGGCTTGAAAAAACAGTACACAAGGATACAGTTATTGATAAATTTTGTATTAAGCTGTCAGATGGTCATGCTCCAAATAACAATATTCTTTTGTTGAAAAAAAGAAGAATTTGTTAATTCTTTTAAACAAGTGATAAGTCAATCTCATTAAAATCAGACCTTAGTTCTCGCTACCGCTAAACAAAGACACGTCAGACACGTCAGAACGACCTTTCATCCAACCAATCAGAGCGTCACTAACCAGATCATGAAAGTGACAGTCGGAATGTGATTTCTAATCATACAACCTCGAAAATATTAACACGGGATATTCCGAACGATAGATACGGGTTTAATGACTGAATCCATACAATCGAGACCATCTATTAGCCATTCCAGAATGTTCTTTTGTTCAGGTTTCAAATTTGTAATCGAGAATTTGTCCAAATATGTTGTCGCCAATTTGAAATTAGTGCCATAAAGCACGAGAAAGCTGCCTTCTGATTGGTCATTCCATTGGTCGATCAAAGTTTGCCTAAGGTCAGTCTGACATGACCCGTAATGGGATGTCCTCAGATCTTTGTTTAGCGGTAGCGAGAACTAAGATCTGATTTTAATGAGATTGGTGATAAGTATGATCTTAGTGCTACAGCAATCAAAACTCTCACAAATGTTGTAATGCTATAATGTAGGGATCTTATGGGTACTGCGGGTCGTGTTGACACGGAATTGAATTCCATGTCATGGACTTGTTTATCCAACAAGGGCATGTGATGGAAGACAAAGTTTAGTGCTTTGGTTGTGTGGACTACACAGTAACACAGTCATGTTGAAAATGAGGGTGCCGTTGTACAAAGCGATTTTAGTGCTAGTATCCCAATTACGTGGATCGATGCTCATGATGTCAATCACTGGATTGTCTGGTCCAGACTAGATTATTTACAAACCGCCGTCATATTGCTGGAATATTGTGTGGCGTTAAACAACAAACATCATCATCATCATCATCATCATCATCATATTAGTGCGAAGGTGATCGTAACTCTGATACCTTAACATAGACTTACGACAGTCTTAGCGCTAAGGTTGTTTTGTACAACGGTACTCAGGTCTATATGTTATATTTCAAAAGACATGAGTTGATGGCCTCATGCTCCACCCGTTTTGTTGCTTGTGAATACTGGTAGGTCATATAGATGATGATGTCATATTTCAGTAGAAATGTTTCAAAAATAAAGCATTTTGACTGATTCTTGTTGACAGCTGCCCAGTCTCTGTAGCTCTGAGTATCCTGTTGTCATGGACAGTATCTGCATGACATACTTTCCAACGAGGTGCTTTTTGTATTCATTTCACTTGGGGAGCATGTATTTCAGTGAACTGTTTCAAAGAATAGGGTTAAAATTAACATAAATAATTATTTTCTATCTGAATAAGCAGAATTGAGTAATCAAGCTGTAAAAATGGTATATAGTTTTATTTTTTATATTTATTTATTGTTGAGTAACAAAAGATATGAATGAGAGTTTTAGAATTTATTGCATTTATAGCATAATATCATCATGTCTTAAATCTGCAAAATTCTTTCTGGTGTTGACAATGTTTTCAGTGTAATTATTTTAATAACATTCTCAACATGTCAATAGTTTTATTTAAAAAATATGAAGTAGGTCATGCTTTGGTTTTGTTTATTACCAAAATGAATTCTTTTTGAGTTCAAATGTAGTAGTTAAAAGTTCATAGTTTGGTCAATCTTTTCAATTACTTGGTTCGAACTATTCACCTGGCTTGATTTTCAAAAGAATTGGGGTAACAGAAATGTGTGCCTCTCATTTATAAAATTGGATGAATTCAAGCTTGCTGACCAGCGGTGGAACTGACTCTCTTGCTACTGTTGTAATAATGTAAAATTTATATAAACAGTACTGGTAGAACACTTTCTGAAGTAGTAGTAGAAGGGTGTTGTTTCATAAGCAGTACCAGTAATCATCAGTTCTCGTCCAGTGGAAACAACCTCACAGTTGATTCATTCATAACTTCTGTGGGTGATGTATGTTTCTTCTTATAAATGCAGGATTCCATCTGAATAAATCTGTGATGTAAATGATAATTTTGGTAATTGTTTGTTAAATATATTCAGAAAGTTCATTGAAGTACATTTAGCCTCAGGACCAGTCTCAGGTTGATTTATTGCATTAGCTAGACCATGTTCCAGTCCATGACCATGTGCACCCAGCTCATCTTCCATTTCTCTCAGATCCTCTTCCCCACCAAACCTGTCCTCTTTCATCTCACCCTGTTCATCTCACCACTTATTCTTCTCACCCCTAATTCACCTCACCACTTATTCTTCTCACCCCTGAATCATCTCACCCTAATTCATCTCACCACTTATTATATGCACCCCTGAATCATCTCACCCTAATTCATCTCACCACTTATTATTCTCACCTCAGAATTATCTCACCCTAATTCATCTCACCACTTATTCTTCTCACCCCGGAATCATCTCACGCCTAATTCATCTAAGACCTAATTCATTTCACTCCTAATTCATCTCACCCCTGATCCATCTCAGCCCTCAAACCACAATATTCATACTTCAATTATCTCACTCACTCACTCACTCACTCACTCACTCACTCACTCAAAAGCGACCTACTTACTCAACCCCCCACTCAAGTCTACCCTACAGCCCACTCACTCCACACTGTCATCATTTGTGTGTTAATGTCTTGTAACTTGTTAAACATCCCCTTGATTTTGTCAACAAAAAATACTTGAAAACATGCAGTATTTCAGTGATAATGTTAAT